TGCCATCACTTTCTTTCTTAAGAGTGGAAGTATTTCCTAAGAATTTAGAATAAGTCCAATATTTCTATGATCAAACATTTAGCAGTCTTCTTCTTGAATACTATATGGCTCATAACAAGATTTCACTAGATATGGATCCCGGAATATGGAGCCAGCTACCGGAGGAACTCCTCGAGAGGGTGCTGTCGTTTCTACCACTAAAAACTTTCTTGAATCTCAGATCAACTTGTAGAAATTTCAATTCTATCCTTTTCTCCCCTTGCTTCATTTCAAAACATTCACCTTCGTCTTCTTCGCCTTTCTCGTCTTTCATCCTCCTTTCACACCCACAGTTTCTCCAAAAGTGTCCTCTCTTCAATACTGTATTGAACTCCTGGTGCGATATGTCACTCTCCTTGCCTCCCATGCTTTCATGTCCACCTTCTTCAAATCTTCTGTCCAGTTCCAATGGCCTCCTCTGTTTTTCTATCCCCAGATCGTCTTGTTTCATTGTATGCAACCTTCTGGCGAGATCCATACGACGAATAAAGTTCCCCACATGTCCAGTTGACTTTGAGTTTCTTACTTTAGTTTCAACATCAAATGGTTACAAATTATTCATGCTATCTTCTTTTGGATCATCCACCATTCACGCCCTTGTATACGACTCCGTGCTTCGTTCCTGGCTACAATTCGATGCGTGCAATCAAATTTTGAGCCATAGCTATTATCAGAAGGGTACGTTTTATGACGGATGCTTGTATTTTACCACTCCTGAGCCTTTTAATGTTGTGTGCTTAGATTTTGATACTGGGAAGTGGGAGAGATCAAGAATTGAGTTGCCGGGAAGCCTTACATTTGTTCGACTAGCAAGCGATGAGGATCGGAAGTTGTATTTGATTGGAGGAGTTGGGCAGAGTGGGATCTCAAGAAGTATAAAGTTGTGGGAATTGGGAGAAAATGGAGAGAATTGGGTGGAGATTGAAACATTGCCTGAGATGATATGCAGAAAATTTGTGTCTGTTTGTTACCATAACTATGAACATGTTTATTGTTTTTGGCACCAAGGATTGATTTGTGTTTGTTGTTATACATGGCCTGAGATTTTGTACTACATGGTGTGTAGGAGAACTTGGCATTGGTTGCCAAAGTGCCCTTCATTGCCTGATAAATGGAGCTGCGGTTTCCGATGGTTTCCCTTTAAGCCCGAGCTATATGCCATTGTTTAATAAGAAAAACTTTAGCGAGGCGATTCGCATTGTCCTGCGTGGTGTGACCGTCCAATGGGAGCCCTCACCTCATCGGGTGGCCCACCCTTATCCAATGAGGTAAGGCCACATCATGACTTGATTTTTCCACCTTAAGTCCCGAGGTGGCCCTACCTCATTGGGCAAGGATGGGCCATCCAATGAGGTGGGGCTTCCCATTAGATGGTAGCACAACGTAGGATGGTACAATCGTTTCACCAAAATTTTTCTCCTGTTTAATAGTTAGAGGTGTCAAGAAGATGTATTGGGCCTCTACTAGAAAGCATTTACTATTCCTTTTCTGCAATTCTATGCAATAGTTTCTTTTACTAGGTCGGTCTTTCGATACATTTTTACACCTTTAATAATATTATTGATCACTAGATTCGCATATCTTGTATGTTTGTGGATTTGTTTCTTATCACCGATGTTAATATTGATCATGTTATTAGAAATTTTTCATTTCCTCGAAATTAATTAGTGTACAAAAATGGCTTTGATATGTTTGACTCTCAGTCCCTATTTGGCCTACATTTTAATTTTAATATATTTTTATCTTTTTTTTTTTAATTCGAAATTTTTCCTTCTTTTTTAATAACACATTTTTTGGAAAAGTACTTTTGCGAAATATATTTTTCTCAACTCAAGATCTTGTTAATATCGAGCCCAAACAAGGGCTTAATTTTTCTCACAGTTAATCCAGAAAGTGTTATATTTTTAAAATAAATATTTTTTTACGTTAAAATGTAGTATTTATTTAAAATAATAGTCAAACTTTGAATTCAGCATGCCAATGTCTTTATCATTTGACTATGGTAACTACGAGGACGGGGAAGCTTCCTATTATTACGTATTGGGGAAATTGTAGAAAATGGTCAAAAATTGATTGCATTCATGGATTTAAAAATGGATGAAAATACCCTTAATTTTTTTAAATTCATAATTAGATCCCAAAACACTTGCCTTTTCCCCCTCAATTTTAAAATTCATTTGTTTCTCTTACTCAATTCAACTAGCTATCCATTTGTCCACATCTCACCCACGAAGATTTTAGTCATCGTGCTACCATCGCGGTCTCATTTTCCATGAGAAAAATCCAAATCGACCTCAGATTAATTGGTCATTTTCGTTCATTTTCTTATTCACTTTAATCTGAATTTTCAATTCAATCATCAAAATCGATCTCTTGTTTTAGAGACAACTGTGTCTTTTTGAAGGTGAAGAAGTTAATCAGTGAGTGAAGATTTGGAGGGTTTTCTCTAAATTATATTAAATTTAGAAATTTGTGAAGAGGAAGAAGACAAGGAAGAATATTATAAATTATTGTTTATATTAATGAGATGAAAAAAATTATATAGAAATCTTGTTCTATGTTTTATCCTTTTCAAATGTTTTTTCTTTTTTTTTTCAAAAAAATAAAAAAATTATATATTACATGGATTCCATCAAATTTTTGTTACATTTATGTGCATTGTTTTTGTAGATTGAAGTTCTCGTGTATATCAATGCTAAAAAAAATGGAATTTTCTTGGAACCATTTATTAATTGATCATTAGATAAATGTTGGGCACTGATAAATCGGCGTTGGTTTTCATTAAATTTCTCATTGTTCAATTTTTTCAAACTCATTTTCAATCATATATTTCATAAAATTTTTAACTTTTATCAATTTTTCAACCATACTTTTCACCGATTTCTATCAAAATCTACTAAAATTTTATTTTTTACCCAAAACCAAACCAGGGCTAAGTAAAAATCCGCTCAATTTGCTACAAATTTTGAGATACTACAATTTAGAGTCTCTCTGAAATTTGAGATTCAACTTTTCATCTGAGTTTTGAATTTTAAATTTCTATCTACACGAGGTGACCAGTTCAAAATATCAATGCAACTCAAGGTTTCTAAAAAAATCAAGATTTCATCTTGGGGGGTTTTCAAAAAATAAAAATTAAAAAATCTACATTTATACTAAAATTCTATGTTTGAGTTCACATGTATAATTAGATGTTTGATTTTTCATAAGGCAATTTAAAAATTTTAATTTTGATTTATTTTATGTTAATAGATTAGATCTAGTTTTTCTCTGATTATTGTTATCCACAAGATAAATTGGACCTGTTTGAAAGAAAATGTATTTTAGAATAGTAATTTTTAGGAAAATATGTAGTTAAAGAATAAGAAAAAATGTAGGTTTACATGCAAAATTATTTTATGGGAGGGTGTGTGTGTGTTTGAAAATGAGTTTTGAATAAGGGTGATTATATTGTCACTACAATTTTTATTTGATAAACCATATTTAAATGCAGTTAAACTTCTTAATCTTTGCTCATTTCAAAAATTATTTTCTTAACTTTTTTTGTCGAATTTTTATTTTCAACCTTCTATTAATTAATATGTCTCACCCTTGGTAATGATTTCTATCAAAATATTTTATTTTTGTGCTTCGAAATGAGAAAAAATATTTTTCACATTTTTTATTTATTTATTTTTTAAAAATACGACAAAAAACTAAGTTATTTTATGTCATTTCAACCGCCTTTTGGACATAAAATTATTATCAAATACAAAATATGTTAACTAATGGCAAATTGAATGACAAAAAAAATCTTTAAGCATATAAATGCTATAATAAACAAAGATTAAGAAAATTAAGTGTAGTTAAAATGTAGTGCAAAATAATAATAATAATAATAATAATAATAAGGGAATTTGCACCCCATGTCACTTTCTGGAGAAAAACTATGGTGCAATCGAATGGGCCTCATCGAGTGGCCAAACTTCATCCCATGAGCTTAGGCCACCTCGAGATTTGATTCTCTCTCTTTCCACCTCAAATCTCAAAGAGGCCTCACCTCATTGAATGTGGGTAGCCACCTGATAAGGTGGTGGCTACTCATACGATAGTCGCACCATGTAGGGCAGTGTGATCGTTCTATCAAAGTTTTTTTTTCCAATTTTTGGTTTTGCATTTCAAAAACGTTGCTTTTAAAAATCTTTGCAAAAATGTCACTTTCAGACATTTTTGCCCCTCAAGAAAATTTATATACCCTATACGTCATAAATTAAATAAGATTTGAATACATGAAAAAATTGTACGAAAAAGAGAAAAATAATTTCACATCCATTTAATTCAAACATCCCATGAAACCAACCCAGCTGAACCTATACCCTGCCACCCCCCTCATTCTAAAACTAAAAATAAAATCGAAAGTAATTTGAAGAAATTTGAAGAAGAACAATTCCCAGTGCGAAAGAAAACAAACCCTCTCGTTAGTCTCTCTCTCTCTCTCTCTCTCAACCTTCTCGTACGTCTTCCTCTCTCAAAATCTCACACCGAAAATGTAAACGACGATATCTTCGTTGATCATGCCCAATGATTGCCACCTTTATCTGCTATTTCCGTCAATGATTCAAAAAAATTGAAAGAAAACCCCAATTATTCGTCTCTCTCTCTCTCAAGTCGCACTCAAACGCTCACTCTCACTATAGACTCGTTTTCAGTTTCTTTTGGTTCTTCTACTTTTCCTGTTCATTAGAATTTTTCCTCCATCTATAAGGGAAAAATTGATATTTTTGATGTACTTATGTGGGTTCATGTAGTGGATTTGTGGTATAGCTAATATTGTAAAGTGGAATTTACACAAATGTCACTAAAATTGAAAATGAAAAAAAAATTTGGACATTCACCAATTTCTTCCAAGAATGTCAATTTTTCCCTACAAAATGTCCACTTTACCCCTTAACACTTTTTTGGAGCAATAAATGCTTGATTTGAATGCAATTAATGTTATGATGTGATTAATTTATTTTTGGTTTAAATTTAATATTAAAGATATGATATTATATTGTATAATAAGATTTTTTTTGATTAAAAAATGGGTGAAATCTTTACAAAATACACACACACATACGAATTGAAAGAGCTTCTTCTTCTTCATCATCTCCACTCCATCATCAACA